CCTTTAAATTTTTTTCGTGGGGGGGCGCGGGGGGGGGGGGCAGAAATCCCCACCCCTCTTCAGCTACAGAAATGCCATTCCATCAGAGGAAATGTAGTTGGATGCAGGCCAGTGTGTGTTCAAAGCAGCATGGCCCACACAGTTGGATCTTAATCCAAAACAGTTCCCAGCTGATGCCTCTGTTGTACAATTCTGCCCTTCTTGTTGACTGCATGCAGCCATGGCGCTAAATTCTCCAAATGGGGCTACACGATACTGATTGGAGGGGGCGTGTCTCTATTTCATAACAGTAATCAGTCAATCAATCATAAGCTTTATTATATTAGCTCACAGCCTTAGCAGTTGACACCAAAAATACCAACAACATCAGAGTTATACAGTTATAAGTGAGAAACAAGATTTATGAACGCAGTGGTGTTTGGCTCAAGGAACCACCCACCCTGCCCACCTGTCGCTACATGGCTGGCTAGCCAGCGCAAGAAACACAAGTGACACAGACAGCAGAGCTCTGTGGCATGCCGGGACAGGGACAGGAAAGCCTGTTGGCCTAACCGTGGTAGGTAGAATCAGGTCTGTGATCCTGCTTCACTCTCCTAGCCATCCTGCTGCTTGCTTTCCTAGGAGGCCAGAGGCAACACCTACAGCAAGGCCCAGAGGGTTGCATCCAGGCATACCAGACTGGTGTGCACGTCCATATTTCATTTTTGACTTAGGGTACACTTGCAAAAAAAAAAAAAGAGTTGGCATATCATTGTGCTGCTTGTAATTCTTTCTTTCTTTCTTTCTTTCTTTCTTTCTTTCTTTCTTTCTTTCTTTCTTGATTTATATACTGCTCTCCTGGCAAGTGGGCTCAGGACGGTTTACATCGGTCTTAATACAACGCAGTTGAATCTTCCATCAGAGGTCCATCAGTGGCTATTAGCCACAAGGTATAGATAGGGACTCTGGGGCAAGTGATGCTCTGTCATCTTGGAGCTTGGGGGGGTCAACAGTGGGAGGGGTTCTAATGTCCTGGCCCCACTGGTGGACCTCCTGATGGCACTGGTATTTCTGGCCACTGTGTGATACAGAGTGTTGGACTGGATGGGCCTTTGGCCTGATCCAACATTGGCATCTCTTATGTTCTTATGTTCCCCAGCCCCACCTATCTTGTCTACTTACTACATTGGACATGTACCAGGAATAACAGAGCAGTATGAAGTATCAGGGGAGGAACTACAGAATCAGTGTCTTGGGATGGCCTAATGTATCCCTCAGGGGGTCGGATCAAGCCAGAGGATGCGGTGATGGCCACAGGCATAGACTGCTTTAAAATAATAACAGTCAGGAGGAGGAGGAGTCTATCAGTGGCTACTAGCCATGGTGACTAAGGGGAACCTCCACATTCAGAGGCAGCAAACCTCTAAATCCTAGTGCCAAGAGGCAACATCAGGGACAGGCCTTGGCCTCTGTGCCCTGTTGTTGGACCTCCAGAGGAACTGGGTGGGTGGCCACTGTGTGAGACAGGATGCTGGACTAAGTGGTCCACTGGTCTGATCCATCCAGGGCTGTTCTTATGTTCTTAAGTGATATGTTTTGAGGTTTTCAATATATCGATGCTCCTGCTTTACGTTCGCATTTTTTAATCTAGGTGACAGTATCAACCAAAGCAGCATCCCTTCGCATCAGAACCGTTTTCCAGATTATCTTGAAGCCATTCCGGGGACAAACGTGGACCTTGGGACGCTGGAAGGAGATGCCATGAATATAGAAGGAGAGGAACTGATGCCAAGCCTCCAGGAGGCTCTGAGCTCCGATATCCTTAATGACATGGAGTCTGTACTGGCAGCCACCAGGCTAGATAAAGAGAGCTTTCTTACCTGGTTATAGGGGCCTCAGGGAGACGAAGCCTGAAATCTTTGAAGGATCTAAGGAGATAAGACGGTGTGCCTGATGTTGAGAACAAGCCTGTGCGACAAAAAGGCTTTCTTGGCTGACGATCAGAGAAGAGAACAAGTAAATGAACAAAATACTCCAGATTCTTTTCATCCAGCATTTTGTTCTTCCTTGTCCAATCGCTGCTGTTATACTGCTGACCTCTTTTCACACTTGACTCTGAAGAATTGGACTGTTTGTTTTATCTCTTCCCCCCCTCCCCCCCCTGTTGCAACTGCTGTTCAACAGGGTGGTGACGGAGGGGGAGGGGAGACGTAGCAAGAGGATAGGCCAGCCCGGTTTCGGATCACGACTGCCATTCCTTTTTGCCCCGCTATCTGTAATGCGTATCCTTTTTTTAAAAAATCTAATGCGGATTTTGTTGAGTCTAACTCTGCACGCCCCTACCCGCAGCTGGCGCTTCTGTGTTGTTCTGCCTGTGGCAAGTGGCAGCAACGTGACTTACTGGTCTGGCGAGCCAAAAGTTATGTATCTGATGGGGGGAGGGATAAAGAGTTGGTGCTGATTTGGAGGCAAGCACCAGAAGACGGCTTGTTAACCTTGGATGCTGTGCAAAAACCCATCAGGCACAGAGGCTGCTCGATCTCACCATTTAAATGAATGGAAGTTGCGTGGCAGCGACGTTTGCTGGATCATGCCCACTGTTAGCTAATTATTAGCTTTCCCTGTTGGCTTCCCTGTTATGGCACCACGAATCATGAGTCGTTTTACGTCAACTTTATGAATCTTGATTGTTACCTCTTATTCTAGCTTATAATTTTTTTTTCTTCTGAATCTTAGATTTTTTTAATTATAGCAGTAGACTTGTAAGTTAACTTTAAAAAAAAAAAGTAGTGAAACCGAAATTTCCTGACTTCACTTAGTCTTATTTAAATCTGAAATGGCTGGCTTTTTTTTTTATACCTAATCTAGTGTAGTCAGCCAGAATATCTATTAGTCCTATGTTGTGCTTGTAACTTCTTTTTTTAAAGATAGCTTTGAATGTATTCATTAGACTACAGGATCCAGGGCTTATCTTTTACGCCTGACTGCCAGAATTTGAAGCAGTGATCTTCTTTGGGACCTTGTCCTAAATTCACTTCCTTCCTTGAAAATTTAGCTCCACTTGTTTCAGAGGAACTTGCATCTGTCTAAACACGTTCAGGATTGCCACTTAAAGGGCAATCAGTTGTATGGAAGTGTTTTTTTTTTTAATGATGGATTTTTTAAAACACAGCAACATTTATGCTATGAGGTTTCATCGTGGGACAGCTCTTGCCATTGCGGGAAGAGCTTTTATAGCGTTGATGAAATTGGTGGCTTGAAATTCCAAAGTCCCTGATGGATGAAAAAAAAATGGACAAAAGATGCTTTTACCTGTAGTTAGTTTTCATATCATCTGCACTGTCACCTGAGTTTACAATACTGGCAAGAACACTAAAGTTTTAAGGTGCATCAAAAGCATAGCTTAAGGTGCATCAGAAGCCGAATGGTGCGTATAGAAGACTGTAAAGATATGTGTTAGAGGGCGAGGCGAGCAAGTAGAAGAGTATTTTAGTTGTAGAGGTTAGTTAGCACTGATATCGAGGGCCTAGTACATCTCGATGCCATGACCTTTTAACGAGAAATAATTGCCTTCGCAGTTGTCTGCAGGAATTGTATGACATGTTTTCCAAAGAGTATTTTTAAGTGAACAAAAAGAGCACGAATCAATGTTACGGTATAAGCTATGAAGTATTTCCGTGGAGTTGTGTTTTTTTAATTAATTAATTGGCACCATCTAGTACCTTAAGGATCTGATATCATTCCTAGTGACTTGTTTTCCTTATTTTCAAGATTTATCCACTTGCCTTCCAAATGTGTTTTGGGCTGAAACGTGGAACACAGGAGATATTGAAAGGAAAAAATAAAACAGCTGGCCCCTTCTAGTTGATGTGGCAAGAGGCCCCGTGGCATTAGGCCACAGTTTAATGGGCCCCTTTATCGCCTGCAGTGTGTCAGCCCTGGGAGCAGTAATGTGGAGGAGGGGGGTCAAGAGAGCAGATCACACTTCCATTAAGAGGCTTGCTTCCTCTAGTCTTCCCACCATTTCCCCCTTCCCCCTAACTGCTTTCAGAAACAGACTGATATGAACTGACATGCGTAGTCTTATAGATGGACAACAGGGAGAAAATCCAGTGTTCTCGCAATCCGTTTCCCTATTTTGTATCCAGATACTGGAGGACCACTTTGTACCTATTTGGGCACCAAGTAGGAAATGGTGAATTTCTCATCCTGGATATCACATAGATAAGACATGCTTTGGTTGATCACAGCTTCAAAGTTGGAAACCTTTTGGGGGGGGCCTTGACATTGTACATACACTACACAGCTTATACTGTATCTGAGCAGCACTGTGGGAGAGGTACAGACGTAAAACTGGGAATTCTTGAATTTCTCTTAACACTAAACCTGTTTATGCAATACTTAAAAAACTTTATAGTTACTTTTTAAGCCTCTTCGTGTGATGGGAAATGTGCCTTAGAGATAATTTGTACTGTTGGCAGAAAAATAAGTAAATAGACTGACGGGAAAGTTTTTATCAAATCGTTATCACTTGACAAAGTGGCTTAACTTTTTTTGTACTGAAATGCAAAAAAGAAAGTGTTATGGGTAGTATTTTGTATTTGATTGGTGTATATATTTAAACAGATCACTTTCCTAACTTTGTAGCCTCTAGATTTTTTTTTTAAACTACAGTGTGTTCAGAACGTAATTGAAACGTAATGAATTCTTATAAGTCTGCAGCATTATCTGCTTGGGAATATGTACCGTTCCTATAAATCACATGGATCAAAATTTGTGTACCAATCAGTGTTGGAACTCAAGCAATGCAAGCGGAAGAGAGACAATTTCAGAGTGATTAACGGTAACTGAGCTTTTGCACATCTGGAGAATCCATATGAAACTGACTTCACTTTTAATCATGGGGGGGGGGTTCTGTAAGAGGCAGGTGTGTGCTTGTCTAAGCTGACTATTTTTCCTTTAGGGAGAAAAAAAACCCAACCTCCATATTTTAAAATGTTTTCTGTTAGAGAACTCTGAAACACAACTTTTTTTCAAATATATATATAGTTACAAATGTTATATTTTCTTTAGATGTAAGAGCATGCCTCTGTTAAGTACCATAGTAAATTCTGTTACATTATTTTTCTTTTATGTAATACATTTTTTCATTGCTTTTTTTGTTTTGTTTTGTTTTACATGATATAAATATATACTTTGTGCTTACACTGTCTTGTTCAGTCGCTGTTTTTTTTAAAAAAACATTAAACTTATCCTAGTACTCATGGGGAAGAGGTCAGGATACCTTGGGCAAAAGTTTGGCAACGAGTGAAGAATCAGACTAGCCGGTGAGATCATCAGAGGGTGGGAGGGCAGTCAACCTGGCATGCTCCTCCTTTGGGACCGTGTCTGAGTCCGGCTGGCAGCTCCCTTTCTTTCCCTGCAACGTTTTACAATGTATTTTAATTGCTCTAAGTTTTATGTGTGAACCCAGTTTTGACTGAGAAGTGAGAATACAGTATAATAAACAGTTTAATGACAGTATCTTAATGCAGCTCTCTTGAAGTATTCAGAACGGTTCACATACCTTGTTCCAGAACAAAGTTTGAGTCCAGTGGCACCTTTTAAGACCAACGAAGTTTTATCCAAAGTGTAAGCAAAGCACACTTCTTCCAACACACGAAGGCTTACACTTTGAATAAGAAATTGTTGGTATTAAAGGTGCCACTGGACTCAAACTTTGTTCTGCTGCTTCAGACCCACACAGCTACCCACCTGAAATACCATGGTTCCAGTAGTCCTGTAAGGGAAGTGAAGAGTATTACTCCCAAATAGCAGATTGGGGGGGGCAGCAGGGCCCCCCAAGACAACAGTGGCTTGCTCAAGGCCACTTAATGAATTTGGTGTAGTGGTTAAGTGCACGGACTCTAATCTGGGAGAACCGGGTTTGATTCCCCACTCCTTCACTTTGCAGCTGCTGGATGACCTTGGGCAAGCCATAGTTCTGTCAGAGCTCTCTCAGCCTCACGTACCTCACAGGGTGTCTGTTGTGGGGAGGGGAAAGGAAAGGAGTTTGTAAGCCGCTCTGAGAGTCTGAGTGAAGGGTGGGGTATAAATCCAGTCTCTTCCACCTCCGCCTCCTCTTCCTCCTCTTCTTCCAGTAAAATCTGAATTGGGACTCTCCCAGTTTGCATTCTTTGCCACTACATGAGCTCTCAATATTCTCTTAACTTTGGCAATTCTTAAAGAGCTACATGATGATTGAGATCAGCACAGTAAGGAAAAAAACCTATTTAACATTCATCTGCTTAACAAAACGGGGGGGTACAGAAATCAAGACGATGATGATGACCAGGGGTCATTTCATAGAAAAAGAGCTAGGGGAACTCATTAGCATAACTCATTAGCATATGTCACACCCCCTGACATCAGGGGCCCTGCGGTGGACCTGCAAGGCTAGCGGGAGTGCGAGGAGGCCCCGCCAAGGCCCTCCCAAAAAAAAACAGGACTCTGCAGCTTAGAGGGAGCCTTGGTTGGAAGAAGCCAGTTTTGTAACCTTTTCTCTAAGGGGACAGGGAGTCAGAAAAGTAGTTCAATGGCACAACCCACTCAGACTTTTCCATAAGAAATAACTGCCGCCCTTTTGCATGTGTTTACCACGTGTTCAACACTTTTTTCCGTATGGTGCAGTGTTTACCTGGTGCTGGCTTAAAGACATGGCAGGTTACCAGCTGAATCACAGAGGTTACATTTCAGTTTGGGACTTCAGAATTTTGATCAGATTAACCTGTTTTTGAAAAAATAGCTGGCACATTGCATATTGTTTTCCCGTTTTATTTACAGGTTCAATCTGTCCCCTTCAGCAGACAGAACCAGTTTAGTCCCTGGAGCTCAGTTTTGTTTTTCTAGATTAAAAACGGAAGGTATGCTTCCTCTCAACAATACGCCATGGGTGTGTGATATACTTGGTGGACTCCCTGGTTAAACAGAAAGCAAGGAAATGTACTTTGCAGCGGGAGGGAAGTAAGAAGTGGTGTCAACTGATGTAAGGTAAAGGTTTCCCTTGCTCAAAAGCCAGTCGAATCTGACTCTAGGGATGCGGTGCTCATCTCCATTTCCAAGCCAAAGAGCCAGCACTGTCCAAAGATGTTTCCGTGGTCATGTGGCTGGCATGACTAGACGCCAAGGCGCATGGAACACTGTTACCTTCCCACCTATTTATCTACTTGCAATTTCTTGCTTTCGAACTGCTAGGTTGGCAGGAGCTGGGACCAGAGACAGGAGCTCACTCCATCATGCGGCACTCGGGTCTTGAACTGCTGAGCTACTGACCTTCCGGTCTGCAACTCAGCGTCTTAACCACTTGAGCCACCGTAGTACACTGGGGCAAAAACTACTTTTTAAAAAAACCAAAACTTTTTTATTTTTCTATAATAATACATTCACAGAATAATACTATAACATAATTAACTTAAAAATAAAACATGAATTTACAACAAACAACTTTTGTGAGCATAAAAGAGATCTACATAACCCTTTGTTTACAGTTATTTTAATAGTTTTTTTTTTTTTTAACTTTTACTAGTTTACTTTTAATTTTACATGAGCGCTGACTGAGCCTAAACTGACCATGACTGGGCAGAGAAAACATCTTGGATTTGTGGTGGATAATTTGACAAAATTACCTATTTGGCGTATGACAATAATGGGGGGGAGGCAAATACCGTTCTGGGTATTATTAGGAGAGGGACTGAAAATAACACCTTTCTGTAAATCTATAGGTGTGATCACGTTGGGAATACTATCTGTAGTTTTGGTTGCATCATCTCAGGAAGGGTGTTGGATAGAAAAGATTCAGGAAAAGGCCAGCAAGATGATGCAGATGTTGGAGCAGCTTCCCTCCAAGGAAAGACTAGAATTTGGGCCTTTATTTAGTTAGAAGATAACTAAACTTGCACCTTGATAGAAGTTTATAAAATTATGCATAGCATACACACACCAAAACGGAGGAGAGCTAGTAAGGGTTTACAGACTTCTAAGCCCAGTGACTTCAGTGGGTTTAGAAGGCTGTAACTGACTAGGTTTTTACTGTTAAGTATTTATGGGACTTGCTTTTTCCTGAGTCCCATCGTGTTGAAGGGAAGGGAAGGGAAGGTGGAAGAACGTGTAATATGATTGACACAGAAAATAGAACTAAGAGATGGCCATTCTTGGAGGCTGTCTCTGTGTTACAGCTCTGAAATTCGCTCTGCCTTGAAGCCGCTCCTCAGCATCTTTTGGAAGCATTCAAGAGGACATATGGGCTAGAAAGTCTTGGAATCTGAGCATCCTATTTAGTCTTTTAATTAGAATCTTATTAAACCTTTCCTAACTTATTCTGGGCCCTCAGGAAGTACCGGGTTATACCTTCAAATTAATGGCACCATTTGTGTTTGTTAGGTACATCTTAAACTACTTTTCACCGTTCTTTGGTTTGGCTAACCTCATAAAACAGTGCGGACTCTAGCTTTTCCAGCTGAGTCCTTGGGCTTCATCCCTCCCCTAAAACAAACACACAAACCCTCATTGCAGCTTATTTCTATTTGTGCATCAAACTGCTCTTCAGCAAATAGATTTAGGAACTTCCACCCTTCTAGCAAAGCACCAGAGAGCTTCTAATGTTCCCGGCGTGGAGCATTGGCCAAAGTCAGTGTTCTCTCGCCATATTAAACACCAGGAGCAATGCTCCCTCTAAGCTGAGGAGTCTTGTGAGCAAAAGTTCTACTTTGTGAGCGTCTGGCATTAAAGTTGTGTGCGAGCAATTTGGCTACTGCATAGATTAGTTGGCTCTGGAGCCATCCTTCCTGAGCGAAGCCAAAAATGTGAGACGGAGTTTAAAAAACTGTGAGCTAGCTCACACTAACTCAGTTTAGAGGGAATACTGACCAGGAGTGCTCGTGTTCATCTGGGCCGTGTTGCCTACACTTTCTGCTTGAAGTCTGTGTTTCACTGTCAGCGTATCTGTCTCCATGAAGTTTGGATTTAGAGAGAGAGGAGCATCAGCACAAAAAACTCAAGGTGTGCCAGCCACCCACAGGCATGATTTCCAGCATGCAGGGCCTCAACTGCAGCGTGTCATCCCGTGGCTACAACAGGGGCGGACAGGTCAAACCTGAACTGCCTGGCTGCAATCAGGCCATCTGCCAAATTAATCCCACACCTCATTATAGGCTCCTTATCAAAAGGAGCTTTGCGTGTTGTGGACATCTGGATTCTGCTTCATGGCCATTTCTTTTTTAAAAAAGTGAGGTTTGACATAGCCCATGTAACCTTCAAGAAAGCAGATCCAGGTGGCTTTACTGTATAATGTTTTCAAGTCAAGTCAAGGAAATCAAGACACACGGTGACCTCTTTGTTTTTATATTATTGTTACTATGAACTGTCACAGATATTTGACTAGTAGGTGGTGTTCGATAATTTGCGATCTAGTCAAGTTCTTGGGGATTGCAGATGTGTCTTTGCAGGATTCTTGCTGCTCCAATGATAACTGGCACAATAGTAACCTCCTTCTCACAGAGGCTCTCTAACTCTATTCGAAGGTCTTGGTGTTTCATGATCTTCCCCTGGTCTTCCTTTTCTTTTCTGCTGTCTCTTAAGAGGGTGTGACTGGCCTAAGGTCACCCTGTGGGCTTCTGTGGCAGAGTGGGATCGAGCCTGGGTCTCCCATATCCTGGTCTGATACTAGCCACTACACCCCCCTGGCATATCATGGGGATGTCTGGCATGGAACCTTTGCCTTGACAGCCTAGATTTCCATAAACCTGTGACTTCCCCCATCTGCAGTCCAAAACGATGCCCAGTCACACATCCACAGGTGTAGGTCACCTGCTGCTTAGGGTCAGTGATGTGAGCACTCTACAGGACAAAACTTTCATCTTGGAAAACAGTTTTTTTTATAAAGGCCCATGAGCAGCTATGTGTTTGCAAAGTGCCATCAAGTTGCAGCCAAGTTATGGCGACCCTGTAGGATTCTCAAGGCAAGAGAGATGCAGAGGTGGTTTGCCATTGCCTGCCTCTGCATCGCAACCCTGGGTTTCCTTGATGGTCTTGATCAGTGGCTATTAGCCACAAGGTATAG